TCTGAACATTATAAGAAAAAAAAATTCTCTTCCACATCTCATCTTTGCAACCTCTGTGACGGAGTGGTGAGAATCATTTCTATACACTGCAGACAATATGGAATTGCTGATGCTTACCAGTGAAGAAAAGAGAAATAGCAAGACAACTTTTCCTTTCCCATTTATTTATTTATTTATTTATTTATTTGATTGGTTGATTTTGTTTCCTTTGTACAGATCTCCTGTCTCAGAAAACCCTCTTTTATCTCTGATTTTTTTTTAAAAGAAATGTTTAGAATGTCCTGCACGTTTCCATAGTTTGAGGCTTTTCAAAAACTAAATCTAAAAAGTTACTTTATGTTGTTCCTATTCTGTCCAAAGGCTTCTCAGCATCACAAACTTGTGGCCTGCATCAAATCGACTTCACCTGCTTCACATGTTTAGGTTGAATTTTACTATAAGTTTTTTTTGATAGAAGCAGCTGTGCATCTTCTAGTGCTGGCAAAATACAGTTCCCAAAAGTCTGAGCCAAGACAGTTGCTAATATTTGTAACCAGCAACATTTAGACAACTGCATCTTCCTTATGGTACGTGTCAATATTAAATATCCCACTTGTATATACTAGTATCCTAGAATCTAAAAATGCATCCACCACTGATTAAGAACAGTGCTCTGAGCTGCTGCACCAAATAGTAAATAAAGTCCATCTATGAGTAGCACAATCTAGTATCTTAAGCAAAGATTATCATCTTAAGCGTGTTGACATTTCTCCCCAAGTAAATATGTACAAGGCTGAGATAATATCTTGTTCCTGATGCAGCTCTTTCTGAGCAATTGATTAGATTTTTTTAAAAATGGCAGACCACACACAGAATCTGTCAGTCTTATCAAGTAATTTGATAAAACCTTGACCAACATTTCACCCAATCGAAAGAGCAGGGATCCAGATTATAGGTACAGAACTAATCTTATCACGGGCCTGTGTGTGATAAAGCAAAGGAGATAAAAACCATCTGCCCTCTTCTCACACGACAATCTAGACATTCTGTGTTTGTGGCTGATATCTGATATCAGAAAAAGAATAAACAGTTTGTACAGAAAACATTTTTCACAGGGTGGGGGGGGGGATGAAATGGCCTAAGAAGTTGGCAAGTGGGAGCTAAACTGAAGAGAAAAAAAAATGACTAGCAAGCAAAAGTAGAATTAAGCTAACTTGGACTGTAGAAAAGGTGCTGGTTCCAGGATGATTCAAAACCACTGAAGCAGAATTGGCGTAAGGAATTGCTATGCAAAGAGTACGACAGTGTGTGATCTATCTATCCTGCAGACTTAACCAGAGGAAAAAGGAGATAAAATATGTTCTTCTTTGTGCAGATATATAGAGGGAGAGAAAGAAGCAAAGACATAAAAAAAAAATAATCAAGCACTTCTAAAGTCATCTGTCTAGTAAATTTAGCTGAAGCTCTTGATTAATTTTGGGGGGAATGTAGTAGTTACTATTATGATGGACACATGGTTCTTATAATACTAGCAGTACTATTGCCAGCAGACAAGTCTCTAATTGTATACATTGGATCACAACTTTGTTTCTTTTGAAAGAAGACAAGAGGGAGGACAGAATTATAGGTCCACCTGCCATGGTATTTGTTGTTATTGTTCGCAATGATTCACCCTGTGTGCTATATTTTGTCTGATGGATCCTGAGATCAATCCAATAGAATATTGTAGTTCATCTTGGAGTTCTTGGTGCCCTCTGAGCTTGGTTGTTCGCTTGCAGACATTTGACTATCCAACAATGTAAACTACTTCACCTAGTTCAACCAAGCTCAGAGAGCATCAAGAACTCCACTGTTCTCATCCTTAGGACCAACAGGCTCAATCCCATCCCTAATAACTTCACAAGTTGCATTACCCTAGATCCATGATGGCGAACCTATGGCACACATGCCAGACGTGGCATGCAGAGCCCTCTCTGCTGGCACGTGTGCTGTTGCCCCAGGTCAGATCTTCTATGGCATTTCTTTCGTGAGCTTCTGTTTCCCTGCAAACAATGAAACAGAAGCTCATGAAAGAAAATGTTCTTACCTCTTGCCATGCTGCCAGTGTTGGGATGCCCCACCTCCCACCAGCCAGGGGTCTTTGTGTTAAATATTCATGAGCCATGTAAATAGGCTCAGTTAGTTGTATTGCTTCAGCACCTTTGGGAGGTCAGCAACAGCCTCCTGCGTCCTGATTGGCCAGGACGCGGCAGGAGGCTGTTGCCGGCTGAAAGATAGTTTTGATTGGACCAGGGACTTGACAGCAGTTGCTGCCCAAGTCCCGAGATCCTATTGGTTACCTCATTCGTATATATAGTTCGGCGCGCACCGCGGCCATTCGAATCGCTGTCATAAGTTACCTGTGTAATAAAGAAGTTGTCGTTCACCCTGTGGTCGCGTCCCTCCTTCCAGACTTCAAAACTTTGGGTCTCTGCTGTGCATGCACGCATGTCCATGCATGTCCCTGCATGCACACATTTGCACATGCATGCATGTTCACTCGTGTACACCATCATTTGGGCATGTGCGTGTGTGTAGTGTGGGCACTCGGTGTTTAAAAGGTTCACCATCACAACCCTAGATATTATCTGTTACCTCTACAACAGAGGGGGGTTTCTACAGGCGAACCAGTAGTGGTAATTGGGCCTGGGTCACTGAGCCTATAGGGACGGCAGGCTGGCCACCACCCCTGAAGTAGTCCCCCGGTCACCTTCCGAGGAGCCTGGCTGAAGTTTTGCTCACTGAGGCACCAGGGCTCCTGGCGACGGGATGGGATGTTTCAGGCACTTAGCTTGGCCACTTATTAGCTCCAGCTCCACCCTCCTCCTCAGTGAGTGGCATGCAGAAGTTCAGCCAGTGCTCCTCGAGAAACAGAGTTTGCAGGATGGCTGGTTGTAGCACAAACACTCATTCTCAGCTTTTTGATTCCTAGCTGAAATGGGCAGCAAACCTAAGTTAATCCAGCAGCTGGAAAAGGGGTGTAGAGAAATGCCAAGGTACGCGTGGGTCGGAGGGGAGGGAAGAAATTCAAACTTCAGCCTCCTGGTGCGGTGTGGGGCTTTGGGCAAAGGCTGGGGGGAAGGGCCCTGGCTTGCTCATGCTTTCTCCCTCCCCAGTGTAGTTTGATGCAGGCAGAAGCTCACATTGCCTTTTGCAAGCCCGGTGTTGGTGAAGCTGGGCACCAGTGAGGGCTGGCCTACTTTTATCCAGCTGTGGGGGGGGGGGAATGGCTTGGGAAGGAAGCCAGACAAAGGGGCAAGTGAGGGCATCCGCAGCATGATGTAGCACAGGCACTTTCCCTCAGCCCCCTTCTTTCGGAGGGCTCTGATCAGCTCCCCTCCGGCTTCTTGGCCACTCCTCTCACCCCATTAGCCATCCCGCCAGCAGGAGATGAGTGGGTGGGCTTTATTGCATTCCAGGGATAGGGAAAATTTTTGATAGGCTGCCAGGCTAGTGGCAAAACTTCCATGCCCTGGATGGACCCACTCACACCACCCATAAGTGCGTATCCGGCCGCCGGCAGCAGATGAGAGGCTTTGCCTACCCTGGGCAGTAGAGCCGCATCTCTCTAGTGCTGAGAGGCTGAGGAGAAGGCATTGCGTGTCTGCCAAAGTCTTTCTGGCAGCTTCACCTGTAGCAGAGATGAGAATGTCAACTGTCTCTACCCCTAATTCTCCTCAAGCATTGCCAAATGAGGAACAGCACTGGCAGACTTTCTAAGCCTAAAGAAAAGAGAGGGAAGGGAAGGAGGGTGGGAGAGAGATATCCAATCCAACCTCCCTCCCTGTGTGTGTGTGTGTGTGTGTGTGTGTGTGTGTGTGTNGAGAGAGAGAGAGAGAGAGAGAGAGAGAGAGAGAGAGAGAGAGAGAGAGAGAGAGAGAGACAGACAGACAGACAGACAGACAGACAGAGACAGGGAGGGAGGGGCTATCCAGTCTCTTCTTGAAAACCTCCAACCTTCTGGAGACAAGCAGCTCCACTGGTTAATTGTTCTTACTGTCAGGAAATTTCTCCTTCGTTTTAGGTTGCTTCTTTTTGTTGAGTTTCCATCCAGTGTTTCTTGTTTTGCCTTCTGCTGCTTTGGAAAATACATTGCCCACCCCACCCCCACTCTTTGTGGCAGCCCCTTAAAAGCCTGTTGCCCATCACACTCTTGGCCAAAGTATGTGAACCATTTCCTCCTTTCAGTGGTCCATGAAAGTACATCTATATTACATAGATAATAAAGTTGAAAAAAGGTTAACATCATTTTTACAGAACTATAGATACCTTGAGGCTGGCGTGTGACAAGGAATGGCTGGGAGGGGAGTGGCCAGATGAGGCACCCCTTGATGTGAGAGACAGAGTTGGCCATGCCTACCCAATCACATGACCACCAAGCCACACCCACAGAACCGGTAGTAAAAAAAATTGAAACCTATCACTGCTCTACAAGAAGTGGCTGGGGAATTGAGATGATAGGGAATAAGAAGATGGCTGGATTACAGATTGACCCAAACAGGGCAAGAGCAGCAGGAAATGGCAGAAATCCTGCTGGGCAAATAATAGGTTTTCCAATTGCCTTGATAGCTGAATTGGACATCCAGTTATGAGGCCACAGCTACCACCCCCATAAAAGCTTTACTTATAATTACATGGACTGGGTATATGTGTTTACTTCTCTTCTATCATGTTCTCATCATACGCTAAATAAATAATAATGTGTAAAAGATTATCTACACTGCAAAACAAGAAATGAATATGCTTTGAATATAGGGTCAGTTAACTCTAGAGCTCAAATAAATTTGTTTTCTTTAGTCTCACATTCCATTGATCAGGTTGTTCTTGTTTTGACTCCGCATTCTGCTTTTCTGTCCATTAGAAATCTCAATTCTAAATGGTTAGGAATCACCTGTAAGTTATCGCAAAATCCCCATCATTTGGATAAATATAGTCCTAGGTAAATCTAAAACATCGTACAAATTTTTAACAAAAAAACCATAGAAAGCTTTTAAAAGTGTTTATTAAATACATCATTTTCTATCTTTAAATAAACATTTGACATTAAAAAATTATATAAAATATTTGTTTGTAATATATATATATATATATATATTAAAAAAAACACAGTTTGAACCAGAATTGCAACTCTCTTAAAAAGCAACTTTTAAAAAAAACGGCAGGGGAATGTGGTTCTTAGGACCTGACTTTAATATTAAACATTTACTGTGCCAGCAAGCAAGTGCTTAAGACAGAACAATTCAATTGCTACATCCATGCACAATGATAAACCTGGCTCAAAGGTGAGGGGGTGGGGAGGGGGACGGACACTGATCTTCCTTGGAAGCAAGCCAGAGCTGATCCTGTGCTATGGCTCAATGACCTATACAAAGCTAACGCTTAAACCTCAAAACCGCCATTAAGTTCTACTGTAATAAAATAAAAAAGGGAAACTGAGGCCTGCTCACATCAATAAAGCAACTTACAATGCATTGTTCAGCAATCATTCCTCACAGAACCTGATTTCTTACATCCACGTCCTCTTTAAAAAAAATGTCTATCAACATTGATCTGGTTCATTAACTTTCAAGCAGCAAAGGCAGCAGCATTCCCAGAGACCAGCTCAGAACCTTCACCTACCTTGCCGAAACAGGGAAGAGCAAAATGTCAATTACAGAAGAAGAAAAGCACATGGGTTGAAATGAAGCAGGACGCCAGAATGACTATCTCTTGAAGAGCTGGAATGTTCTCACAAGCAAAGCACAACAAAAAACCTCTTAAGCATAGAAAGTGCAACATTTCGCTCTGCTTCCCTTCAAAACATGGCTGTAAATATGCAGCTCCCATTTGCTTCTTATAGCTCAACTCTCCACTACAACATGGAAAAAAGAATGAAGGGGTTTAACATCCTGGACAAATCCTTATCTAGAAGAGTCTGGGTCTAAAGCTTAAAAGGCAGAGCTACTTATTTCAAGACAAACACATGGAGCTCTCAGCTGAGCCTCACAGTTTTGTTGCTCTACTAAAGAAAATGCCTAACCTTTGCAGGTACAGACAATGGACAGGAAGCCATGCTGACTCCTTTGAAGACTAGGGATTCATCTACAACAAAAGAATCTGAAGTTTGTTTCTGCAGCCAAGTTCTAATACTGAAGGACACAGCCAGGCAAAGAATCAGCAAGCAAAGAAGGGGGTTAAGGGCCCCAATCTCAGTCCATGCCTTCCATGCAAGCACATTCTTACTTTATATCTGCTGGGCAAAGTATTATGGGCACACAGATCTACTGAAGTAAAATATAGTTTGAAAAGTCTTTTGGGGAAGGGACACCTTGACCTGATGGAAAAATACAAAAACAGATGCCCCGAAGGCACAGGATTTCAGCCATTCTAGGAGCATGCCCATGCTTGGGACTTTTGCATGCCTACATGTTTGTTCTGCTGTAGAATTTCATTGTTGGTTGTGTTGATGAGGTCTAGAAGACAGAAAATCTAAACAGCAATTCAGCACAGCTACATTTCAAACATGGTTCCACTCACACTCGAAACCCATTTCAGGGGAAAAACACTTTCCGAGCATCTCTTATCAGTTAACAGTGCCTCAGTAATACTTCCTACGATGTCAAGGGAAACAAAGGAAATAAGACTAATTCTCAATACAACCTGAGTCCTCTTCCATAAGTAATCAGCTGGTGACTTGTACCAGTGATAAAATATAAGGCTCAAAAACATAAATACTCCATGGCTAAATTTTGCTTACAAAAGGCCAGTTGCCTCATTCTATAGCTGCTAACTGGAAGACTGTTATTAAACCCCACAAGCCCGCCATAACAATATTCCTTCATATTCTTTACACCTATCCAGCTATTGGCATTCAGAAACACACTTGTTTGTCTCTGAATAGGAAGCCTCCATTTATCACTGAGTAAAACAGATTAATACATAAAGAAAAAGCCACAGCTGTTTTAAAACCATCCTAACCAGTACCCAGCACATTATCTTGTGTAGTATGGAATGGTACTTATTTATTGGCTTGTCGTAAAATCTAAGTAAAATCCATTTTATTACAAAGTTAAAATTTAAGGCTAAAAACTTCTCTCATTTTGTATGGTTGGGTTAAAAATGGATACTGGGAATAAAACTGTAAGCTCCTGGAAAAGTAGATAGCAACTTTCTCTGAACAGTGTGTTATGCGGAGTGCTAACTGGATGGTGTTATGCATAGATGTTGTGCACTGTACTTTGCAACCTACAAAGCTTAAGAGATGGACAAAGTGCCTTAAACGTGAATAGCTGGCATGAGGTTGAGGTCCTGCAGTCTTCAGCAGTTCGAGAGGCCAGAAGCTCTAAAAGAAGGAGACAATTTTCATCCACGTTCTTTAGCACAGTTGCTCAAATGGCAGAATCCACATCTGATAGATCTGAAGAGGATGCCTCTTCAGGATGCAGATCTGCTCCCTGTCAGAATGGAATAGGCACAGTAGTTCTTAGTAGACCATCTCCATCACACATGGAATTTTGCAGTCCAAGTGACTATCTTTCTTCTCTCAAGCTCCAGTTTGTTGGCTGAATGGCAGAAAAAAGGCAACTTGTATAATGCACTCCAATCTGGGCTAGCGGAAATAAATAGCATCCATTTTCCTGACAAATTCCTTCCTATTTAAAAAATAAAAGTATAAAAACAGTCTTCATGGAAAAGTACTGCTGTGGCTTCAGTTCCAGAGTTTCCTTTGTGCAATTTCTCCCAATAATAGCAACAGAACTGTACTTTGAAAGTGGAGCTTTCAGTCCAAAACCCCAGGCAGTTTCTCACTTCAGAGGGAATGGCGCAACTGGAAATAAGAAGATATGAAGAGCCATCACTGTTTAATTCAAGTAGTGTCAATGAGCTAAGAGGTAAAGTACAGGCCATTATTTTATTACAAATCACATAAGTTAACTTTGTTGTAAAAATCTAATAGATACCTTTCACCCTGGCTTCGCTGATAACAGGATAAGAGCCTGTGGCCTAATGGCTAAGATCTCTGCCTGGTGTGCCTAGTATGCCATATAGCCCAGGTTCAAATCCCAGTAAGGGTATGGCTAGCTGATGAGAGCTAAATAGCTTGAAATAGAACTAGATTACAAACATAAATATATAATACTTCAAATATCTGGAATATGTATGCAGTGTTTTATTTCCTGGCGTTCCTGTCACCTACCAAGGTTCTGCTTATTTAAGAATCAAGTAAGAATGCATGACTTTAACATGGTTGTTTTCATGGTCCTTCTTGAGTTTCACGCCTACGGTGTCATCAATCAAAAATCTTACCAAATAAGCAAGCAAATCAAGATTCATTCTCCCTGATCATTCAGTCTCCTTCCACATACATTCCTCTCCCTCTCACCAGGGTTTCATTTCCCCACCAATTTAATCAGTAACGAGAACAACAAAAGCTTAAAGGGAGGCAAAAATTTAAAAAAAAAACCTGTTCAAGTGATGCCTTTCTCCCCCATGTGCGTTTGTCTCTTGGTTTACAAAACAGTCTCCAAGAGAGTTTGCTGCGTGGATGATAGGAAGAAGCAAATTGTTTCACATCATTATCGCAAATGCTAAAAAGCCCAAAACAACTCCATTTACA